GAAGAACCCGTCCAGAAGACCTATACAATTTTTTTCTTTTTGATTTTTTACCTGGATTACTGAGATGCATCAGGACACTTCCCTGTCGAGTTTTTTGACCTTCCCACAGTAATCTGAGACTGAGCAACGTAAAGATTTGAATCACAGAGATTGAAGTTGTTTTCAGACGGCTGCAGTCCACATCGTTAGCTTCATTTCTGACTAGCCTTTAGCTCCTCGGCCCTGTCAGAATTAAACTGTCACTCCAAACTGAGGATGAGCTAAAACATAACAGGTAAGATGCCATGTGGTGCCAAGTGTAAAATATAATGTTTAAAAATGTAACTAATGCATTTTCATTATTCAGCTCACTTTATTAACATTTTCCTCTAACATTTATGTGTTATTTTAGCTCACTGTTATAACATTTTACATTTTTACTAAATGTTAAATTTAAATGTTTAAAAATATATGTTATTATTAAATTCTAAATTTAACATGCAATTTAAATGTAAAAAATTACATCTAAATATTAAATTCCAAGTCTAAATGTAAAATTCAAATCTTAAATGCTGCAGCTAACTGCTAAAGCCTTGATTTAAAAACATATTGGAATTGAACTCAGCCTTTGCTGTTGGTGCCCGACTTTTGTTATGACATCATCAACCTGAGACAAAAGCGTCCACTAACTTGATTAATGCTTCCAACGCTGCTAAAGCTGCTGAAGATGGTCACGATTGTCGCCTCACCGCACAGGCTCCGTAGGAAATGAATGGAGAGCGAGCGACATCGCCTCCCGTGTGTCGAGCTCTTTAGCAGCGTTAGCATTTGCTTTTGTCTCAGGATGATGATGTCATCAGAGCCGAGCACCAACAGCAAAAGCTGCGTTCCATTCTAAAATCTAACCCAAGTACACATGTATGTTCCCTTGAAGCAGCGTAGATCTACACATACAACCAAACACAGCTAGTTTAAAGTATTAACTTTTCATTTGACCCACAATCAGTACATGGTGGATCTCTGTTACCATTGTGAAAAAACAAACATGTGGTTCGCCTCTATCAGTGTTGTATTCAGCTGTTTGTGGTGCCGGCTGTAAGTCTTTATTCATCATTTACACTTCTTCAGACTGTTTTTAGGTTTTATTAACAGAATAAACTGCATTCTGCCTCTAACACGTCTGGATAACACGTTTAAATTGCACCTTCCCCTCTGATGGTTAAGATTTATTTTTGAAGATGTTTCATAAAATCTGCTATCAACTCACATTGGGCCTCGTGCAAGAACATGTTCGTATTCTTATCCTAAATTTCTCTTACTTTTGTTCGTATGAAGGGTTCGTACGAACATGTCACATCAGATTCAACAAACTGTCTGGGTCTCTGCTGCTGCCCACGCGACCCGTTCCTGGATAAGCGGCGGAAAACGGACGAACAGACAATTTATATTGTTAGTCTAAATTATTACATTTAAATTATAACTCTAATTCAAGCAGAATTGTCAAGCCTATTGTCAAGATAATCATGGAGTGTAATTTATTTTCAAATCAAAATATCTT